GGTTAAATCACTGTTAATTTCGAGAAATTGGTGTTGTTAAGACGGAATCCTTGCATTCGTGATTGTAACTTGTATATTTTGCTTCAGAATAATTAGTAATGTGTCATTCCTATTTTGTCTAGCTGAATTGCTTTAGTATTTAGGACTTTGCGACAGTTCATTATTAATGACCCAATGTTTAATTTAACAGATAATTAATTATTTGGTTTTTCTTCATTCTAGAGGCATACCAGCGGTTGGCGGTAAATCGCTGAACACTGGTAATTTCAGCCGAGTTCGAATCCCGCGAACGGGCTGCTGCATGCTTTTCATGGTTTTCCCCATGTGTAACTTATATGAGCCAGTACCTTAGAAAGTCCCCACGAAGGCATCCCTCCCCTTAGGCTGATAGCCCTAGTACTCTTTGCTGTACTTATGTAATCCAAAAACCAAACCAATCTTCATTACTACAATGAACATTTGTAATTTAATGCAACATATTTTAAAGGTATATTTTAATTTAACATATTTAAAGCTAGAAGAGATATGACACCAGTACCAGAAAAACAATTTACTTAATAGCTACACAAAATACTATTTTCTGTGAATTCTGTACTAATTGTTTTATACTGACTTATTAATAGATGTTCACAATATGTAATGTATGATATTCCCATTACATACAATTAGTTACAATCAGTACATAATAAATATAAAAATAAGAGCCAAATAAAAAATAAAATCCTAAAAAAACATACTTTTTCATGAATTTCTGGACTTTGATGCATGCCATATAACTGCTGAAGTTCTTGTTGAATCTGCTGCATTTCATATGTAACAGATGATGAACTTCCTTGGTAGGGTGTCTTGCCAAGCATGTTGTATTGATGGGATGAGGCCATCATAGAATCAGATACAGAACTTGGAGCACAACTCATCTGACTCTTGGCATCAGAGGTTGGCATAGATCCAACATTTGCAGGCATGGTTACTCTTGAAACATTTGCTTCGGTAGTATTTACAGTGGGGATACCCGAACTATTGTCTGAACCATAAGCTGCTGAAGAGTCTACAGGTGTATTTTCATCAGCAGGAAAACTAGAATTTGACAAGGTGGAAACAGATGGAACACTTGGTTGAAGAGGTTGAGAATTTGGCACATTGCTCACAGAAGAAGATGGCTGCTGAGCCACAGAATGTGGCTGGTTAAGGTAGGTATGGTGAGAATGTGCCTGAGATACATGAGAAAAGGCGGGGCTTTGTGGTTGAGGACGGCCTTCACCAACAGATGCATATATTTGCTGAGTATGCTGACATTTGCAAATGGCTAATAAATTTGCTGACCAGAATTATGATTACCAGATAGACCACTGGCTTACAGCAGATGCTGTAGGAGTTGTCGAAGGACCTGTGCTCACACGAGGTAAAACCATCTGTTCCAAATGCTGCAAACTGGACGGAGCATTTGAATTCCCTGGAGAATGGCCCTGTCCTGGACTTGTTAAGTGAGTAGTACTAGGGCTATGGTAACTTCCCTGAGATTGAGGAGTAGACGACTGTAAACCTCGCTCTGGTGTAAGAGGTGGAGGCACAGAAACCTCAGCAGGAGGAGTAGGAGTTAAGTGCTGCGGAGAATGAGTCACTTGCGCAGGGAAAGGACTTCGATATTGTGGACTCATTGGTGCTTGCACATGTGGTTGAGAATTTGAATAATGTAAATGAGGTGGAGTAACAGATTCTGGATTTGCAGGTCTAGGAGAAGGTTGCGTAGCAGAGTACGTTTGATTAGGAGAAAATGGAGGGTGATACTGCTGTAGTCTTGCTGGACTACCAGGGGGAACTGCACTTGTATGCTGTTGACCTGAGTTAACACGCGAAGAAACAGGAGAATATCCCATTTGATGAACAGATGGCCTAACATTCATCATTTGTTGACCCATCACATGCTGTTGAGGTGAATGTCCAACAGTGCTACCAACAGCACCAGTAGTACTATAATGTGGCCTATTACTTGGTGTTTGAGATGTTCCATAATGTCCCTGAGGAAATGTCATAGCTTGTTCAGTTTGAGAAATAGAACTAAGATTTTGAGATAAACCAGACTGAGGTGTATTGTTCATCTGCCCCACCAGAGAACCATTCTGATTCACAGATGTAGAATTCATATTATAAACAGGAGGTCGTTGCATTGAAGTCTGCTGGGATGCAGCATGAGATGCTGCATATTCTTGATTACTCATGTACTGGCTTTGATTTGGAGTAGAAGGCCTTTGACCTTGTATAGTCATTGGAGAATGGTTTAAGGAAGTGGCTCCGTGTTGGCTAGGCACCATTTGATGTTGAGAATAACTCTGTGACGTAGGCATGCATGGACGTGTCATCTGAGAATGTGTCATTGAATTCTGCCACAAATCTGCATTCTGATTAACCTGCTGTACTGAATGTTGAGGCATAGAATGATGTTGAACAGAAGCATAATGACCTGGATACTGAGCTGCCCCCTGAGACATCTGTGCTGATGCTGCATTATTATGAGAAATTTGCTGACCATAATGACTACCTGTCATGGTTCGATTCTGGTACATTTGATTTGGAACAACAGTTCTTGGAGAGGACTGCTGAGGTTGATCAGGCATTGATGACATATGATCGCTAAGATGATGCAGTCTCGGTCCACCAGAAACATATTGCCCAGCCATGCCACCAGCTTGTAACTGACTACCATAAACAGAATACTGATGAAGTTTTTGAGGCACTTCACTTTGTGAATAACCATGCATTGCTCCTTGGTGATATGAAGTCATGCCCCCAGCTGATAATGGTGCTCCAGTCTGTGACTGCTGCATGGACACCATACCTTGCATCATCACATTTGGATTTTGCCCAGGTGTACCAGGAATGCTTTGTGACATCATACTTTGGCCTGCAGTGTTTACAGAACCAGAATGACTGTAACTGACAGCATTCACCAAATTTGCTGTTTCTTCCATGATATCACTTCCTCCCACACCAAACACTCCATCATTTAACATATGGTAGTCAGCCATTTCTAGCAAAATGACTTTAATCTACCACATTTTTCTCAACCCAGTGATGCAACAGATCACTGGTACACCTCTGTTTGCTTTGCTTCATCATTCTGGATAATCTTCACATACCTAAAAAAAAATTAATTTTATGTTAAACAATATAATATTTTGATGATAAAAATTCTATTTTATTTCTGATAAGAAATTTTAGCAGGAGAAAACTTAACAGCAAAATATTAAAACCTGAATATAACCTTTACATTTATATAAACTATGAAACTCACTGAATTTTAATTTCACTGAAATGAAAAAAATTTCTAAAAAATTACAATATTAACAAATATTAAAATATGCTGCAATCTGCAAAATTTCATTTCAAAAACATATGGTAATAACTTAGAAAGACTGTAATGAATTATTATAGTAATAAAGAAGTAAATACCTGAGATAAGTCAGCCATTCATTCCATAAGAGCTAGTTTGCTGACACTCATAATAATAAAATTTATCTTTAAGTCTTCCTTTACAGGACACACTTTTTCTAATTTGCATGCCTATAGCTTTCCTACATTGTTTACATTTATATCACAGTTTAGAAAATTGCAAAAAACTAAGATTTTCTTCACATATCTCTTACACCAGAAGTCTAGTTTCTAAGATTTTATTCACATATCTTTTATAATAAAAGTCTTTAAACTTTATAGGTTCTAAATAACAATCTTCAATGTTGCCTTTTCTTAAAATCACATTACGGTTATATATGAAGCAGAATTTAGAAAATTCTTTATTCCTTTAAAAGATTTATGTAACTTTTACTATAAATATGCCCTGATATCAATAAAACTAATTCACACATACTTCAGACTATTATTCAGCGTGTTCACAACACAAAGTACCATAACAATGTAAAAGAATATACGCAGGAAATCTATGTGTGTTTGAAGCAGCTAAATTATGCACTTTGGCAATACATAAAAGTAAACAAATATAATAATTTAATATATATGCAAATATAATACTTTAATATATACACAAATAAAATAATAATAATAATTTAATATATTATACTTAAAAATAATACATTTAGTAATATATAAAAGTAAACAATAACAAATGAAATATATCTGCATCTGAACGAAAACTAAGGTTCTATCAGAATACTCAAAACTATTTAACTTCTGAGTGATTATTCATTAAAAAATCTATGAACAATAACGGTACATATATCATAACTACATATATAAGATACATACTATATGCATAATTTAGGATATCACATATGAGGCATAATCTAAAACATAAATCATGAAAAAATACCTAGCTTCATTTTAAAATTTATGAAAATATCAATGATTTGGGGAAGTGCAGAATGGCCCACTGCTTGGCACATTTTTAAGAATTGCACATACTCGGTATCTTATGTACAAAAATGGCATTGCGCACTCGCTTTATCCATGTATATATCGACCGATTTTCATTTAAAAAATCAAAGAAAATTTGACAAAAATCCAATTCTTCTTACTCTTGTAAAAAGTGCCAAACAAATGCCTATCAAATAAGTGGGCGATTCTGCACTTTAGCCAATGATTTTATATACAAGTTAAAGAATTAATTTTTTCTTTCTTTTATTTTTTTAAACAAGTTAGTAAATTATATGTTTTGCAAATCAGCATTGTGATATAGTTGTATACTGCCATTCTTAATTCTGCAATTATAAAACATAGGGGTGGGGAAAATAACTTTATCTAATTAATGCACCTTATGTAAACTCATCAGAAATATAAATAAATTCTTTACACAATAAGCAACTGGCATACAAGGCAAAATGCATATAAATAGCTTGTAGGCTTATCCAACAGTCTATTGTTTACAATAAGCAGGAAAACAATAAGATTAGGAAAATAATATTAATAATAAAGATTAAATGCAAAAAAAAATCAACTGACAACTCTTGATCAGAAAATTTTTCAGAATAAATATCAAACTTTTTTATTCTTTCTTAAATAAAATAAAAATAATAACACATGAAACTATTTAGAAAATCTTTGATTATAAAAGTTAAATTTCTCATATATAGACTTAAACCACAACTGAAGTTATGTATCTAAGATATCAGTATCCAGGATAGTTAAAAAATACAAGAGATAAATATGATTGTATTCACTTGGATTTGTCTATTACAACAAATTTTAATTTTGATTAATAAAAAAAAGAGGAAAATTTTAATAGTTGCAACCTGAATTCAGTGCTAATGTTAAAGATCAATCAAGCATAACATAGTATAGGAAGCGAACAATAATAGTTTTAAATGGAAAATTATACATGCATTTTTCTTGCCAATACATACTTTAACAAATAAAATTCAGAAAAATTAGCCGTTTATGTATTCCGTTACTTTTCTAGATCATTCTACGAGAATGTAATAGGTACTCTATAATACAAATATAGGCCTATGTTTTTAATTATTAGTAAACAAACGAACTGTCAAACAAATATTTTAAATCGGATTGCTTAATATTTCACACTGATGATGCATAAAAAATAAACCAAATGCCACAGCTTATATAGATTCTCAGCTGCTATGGCAATTACCTTGTTTATTAATTGATGCCAATATTAGAACAATTAGTTCAAGTGAGTGATTAGTTAAATCCCAGGAAACAGAATCTTTAGATTGCGTAAGACACTCTTACACAAGTTCCCACGTGTAATTCATGTAAGAAAATTTGCTTATTTTCATACAGTATTTTCTTACCATATGAATGATCATACGCAAGCTAATCAACACAGACCGCACATCTGAACAATGATCACAGAAACACGGAACGCCATTTTCAGGGCATCTTTACATCCTCATTCTACGATCACTGCTGGCGTTCTGCCAGATGATCAGCGTCAGTCTCATCTCAAATCACATAAATAGCGAATAATCGTAACTGATATTTTCAAACCATATACATATAAGAAATGTCAATAAGCTTCATTTTGAACTTACCTTCCGTTTACTATAAATCAAATTTTCCTCCCAAACACGTTTTTCCGAAATTTTTCTAGATGTAATGGCTAACATGGAAACCGTGAATGAAAACCATGACCGAATAAAACGAGGAATCTGATTGGACAAATTTCTATCAATGTTTTCATTCCAAGCAGGTTTAATGTCCTGCCTGTATTTGTCAAAACCAAAAATTTTACACCTTATGAAATTCAATTATTTAAAGTAACTTGGATTAGATACAGAAATGTCAATTTAATAACATTTTTGTGTAACCAAATATCGTGTTATTAGACTCGAAACAAATATGAAAACAAATATTTAAAACTACAATTGATATGTTCGGTCAAAATAGCATTGATCAAATATTAAATAAAACTTCTCTTCCGTTTATTTAACAAATATGTGTGTAAGAGATTGTTTAATAAGATATGTCTATAAGGGAAAGAGTTAAACAGAAGCATTTCTGAGAAGAAAAAGCAAACAAAAATGTTTAAAGCTAGTCAATGAATGGCAGTCATAAAATTAAATATCATTAAGTGCCAGTAACACAGATTGAAAACCTCATTCAAAGGAAACAAATGTAAACATATTTTCATAATTATCATCATTTGTTCATTATAATTCATATTTCCAAAGATGTATGAAATTATATTATGGTGAAAATCAAATCTGTTGCATGCAGTGCTTAATAAATAAAACCTTAGGAGATATTTCTGAGTTCGCAAATAAAATTTAAACGGAAGATTTCACAGAAGATTTTTCATGGTAAATTAATTCCAAGTGATATTGTTATAAGGAAAATTACGAAACCCCACATGACTAACCCAGTCTCCCATTGCAAAAATTTCAACAAATGATTTCACAGAAAATTTTTCAAGACAAATTAATTTAAACGGAAAATTTTACACATGATTTTTCAAAGTAAATTACTTCCCAACGATATTGCTATTAGGAAAATTATGAAAGTCCACATAAGTTACCCAATATCCCATCGCAAAAGTTTAAACGGAAGATTTCACGGAAGATTTTTCAAGGTAAATTAATTCCAATCAGTCAATCAGTCACACCGGTATCGCAGAGATATCGCGCGGAGCGCGACCTGTCCTGCTCAATGATAGAACTAGCCGTATGGGCACATGACGGTAAAAACAGGACGGGCCAAGGAGGCATCGGAGGTAGGTGAGAGGAGGTAACCATGCGTCACAAGGGGGAGAAATACCAAGGAGAAGCTGGTGTCGCGCAATCTGACAAGTGTCTGTTCGTGACATATACATGTATAAAACAATAAACAGAAAGTAAAAATAAAATAAAATTATTTACAGGGTACATAAATACACAAAAAAGGTACAAAATAAAATACAAATCCAATCAAAATCAATATTTACATATGTATAAAGTGCGTGCGCTATCATAATTAAGTAGGGAAATTTGCATTCCTCGTGATATGTGCAGCGTACGGTCTTATTTTGTAGTCCTCTTGCAGAGGTATATAATCAAACGTGTTGAATTGAGCAAGGTACGGGCAATTAACAGCTCTATCGAAGAAACTGCTGTTGGTGCTGTGAAGAAATTTGTCAACAGGCTCAATTTTTAGGTCTCTATGAAGCGTGTCACTAGAGACAATGTAGTGTGCGTTTGTCATTAAACGCAGGGCTTTGTTTTGGAGAATTTGCAGTTTATTTACATCTCTATGTGTGGCCGCCGCCCACGCCGGGGACGCGTATTAGAAAATGGGACGGATAACCGTCATATATAAATGTCTCTTTTTAGAAAGGTTTAACTTTGAGTTTTTGCCCATAAGGGAAGAAACACTAGTAAGTGCAGCCATGGCCTTTTCCACTTGTCAGGGAAATAATTATGCATTAAACAGGCATTCAGAATACTTGCATATTTAGAGATGATATTCAAAGGCAAGTACGTAATAGCAACGCTCGTGATCGAATCATATACGGGGGCTTTTCTATTTTTCAGCCGCTTAATGATTTCTTTAGTTTCCTTGGGTGAGGTGAAATTCGTGCAGTTGTGCGCCCCAGGGCCGCTGATCCAGTCTTTGATAAAATAGCGTACATCGTACGCAAAAGTAAGATCACAAGGATCAGAATTTGGCATAAACTGATCAGCCAAATGTTTAGCCATAAGAGAAGCATTATCCTTATTGGTAAGTGCTATGCAATTTCTGTTATAGATGGGTTTTTTGCACTGTGGCTTGCGTCGTAGGTTTCTGGCAAAAGTCCAAAAAGCATTATCCGGCTCATTAAAATTAAGCATTTTCTCATTCCACGCGTCTACGCGGTGAGTCTGAATATCCTTTTTGATTTCTCGATTTAACTTATTAAGCTCCTTTTTAACACGAGGGTCCCAGGAGATGTGATATCTTTTGCGCAGTCTGTTCCTATTTTTAATCTTATTACGGATAGTGCGCGGTAATAAATCCGGATGCTGATCAGCGGGAATTTTTCTCGTAGCAGAATTGTAAGCACTTACAATATTATTATTGTAAGTGCTTACAATTACGCGTATTAGTCAAGGCATCAATTGCATTATCAATATCCCTTGTATTTTTGAGACATGAAAAGATCGGGCTGCTATTTATCAAGCAATCATTATAAACATTCCAGTCTGTACGAAAATTGTACTTTTCATCCAAGCATTGATTAGTACCAAGCGTAGCAATAACTGGTAGATGGTCGGATGTTAACTCGACCTTAACATCAAGGTACATAGGTATTGAGGTAGTGGTAAGGACAATATCAAGAATGTCTCCTTTCCTCGGATTTTCGGGTGCATAGGTATACTCTGAGGGAGCATAGAAGTAGATCGAATGATTATTAATGAACTCCAAGAGAGTTTCTTCTCCGTTACGGTTCGTTCTTCTTCTGCAACCTCATTCAGTGTTTTTGGAATTTAAATCGCCCCCAGTATCACATTTTTATCGTTGGGGAGCAATTCGGTGAGGAAGCTCTCGTCAATTGCATTCTGAGGTGGGTTATATAAAACAGTGAAGTACACAGCACCGTACAATGGCAGTAAGATAGAAACAGTGAGCGCTTCTAGTCCATTAATGCGGTAATCTGCGATATGGCATGACTGTAATAAGTTTTTACATAAATGGCCACTCCTCCTCCGCGGTGGCTTAGCCGATCACAGCGGTAGCACCTGTAATTTGCAATCTTCAGACTAAAGCACAGAGTAGCAAAAGTCTATGTAACCATAGCAACGTCGATATCATACGTCAACAAGAAGTTATGTAACTCCATAATTTTATTAAGCAAGCTGTGTGCATTCCAATTCATGACTTTTATGGGGGCTCTTTTAATCTTATTTGGGCCCATTATCAATAGTATTTTTATTAGAAGCTTCTGGATTATTTTTATTTAATTCTTTAACTTGCTGGGTAAGTTGTAAGAAACCCGCGCTTTTAATTATGCTGACTAATTCTGCCAAGTCAGAGAAGACTGTTTTTTGGCGTCGTTTGATAGCTTCGGAATAGATACCAGTCGATACGCCTGAGCGTACGACTTACCCTCTATGATTCTGCTAGAGAACTTCTTTGGGTTTTCTGCTTTTTCAGATTTATTTTCGGGGTATTTTTCACACCCTTTAAAGCTTGATGTATGATTTCCATTGCAGTTGGCACAGCAAAGGGGTTTATCTGGGTTATTTCTATCAGGGCACTCCTTGATGTAATGTGGGCCGCTGCATCTGACGCATTTAGGTTTATAATTGCAATAATCTTGAGTATGGTTGCAACCCTGACAGCGAAAACACTATATTGGGCCCTGTCTTCCTTTGTATTCGACGATTTTAACAATTAAATCTCCTATATGTTTTTCGTGATTGTTCATTTTTGGGAAGCGTGACAAGAAACAGGGGGAGCTTTTGGACTTCTCCTCTCTACGTCTCGACATTTGCTTAATATCCATGATTTTATAACTCTGATTTTATTATACTTACTAGTTCTGATTTTATTTCCTCAATAGGGGTGGAAAGTAAGAGGCCATTAATGACCACTTTCAGATTTTTATCCTCAGGGAGGATGTAAGAATGGTGTTCTATTTTTAATTCCTTTAACATTTTCACTATTCTTCGATAACTATCGGGATTCGTGGTTATGACTTTGATTCCTTCGCGGATTCTGTTACCTACGAATTCAAATTGTTTTTGGCGAAACATCTTGGATAATTCAGACCAAACAAATCTATTTTCTTTTAATACAATGGGCGGTAGTCTAGAATTTTGTCTGATTTGTTGTGTCGCATCATGATTATTGCTGTTCTGCTGATCGTCAGCAGTATTTGTATCCATGTTTTCATTTTCAGTTGGATTATTATCCGTTTTTTCTTGACTGTTTTGTTCAGTGTTATTTGTATTCAGTGTTGTTTGTTCAGAAGTATCATTTACCTTATCCTGATTTGTCATAACAGCCGGAGAAATTATTTGAGTATAGGTGTTCAGTTTTATTTTCTTGAAACCTACACGGGAAAGTTTTGTGCGTACTGTCTGATCGCCACGACGGCGTGGTGGTTCATCTTCTTCGGAACTCGTGTCCTTATCCAAAGTTTTTTCCTCTGCACTATCTGTGTGTCTACGTTAATCAAATTAATAGGACTTCTAGCCCTTTCATTATCCTGTAAGCTAGTGTTTAGACATGTATTCTGACTCTTAACAACCTGCTTTGTGTTAATAGCATTAGCATTACTGGCATTCTCATTAATCAAAGCATTAATTATTTCCAATGAGCTGTGAAGAAAATTATAGAATTGACCTTCTATTTCTGACAATTCACCTTTCGATGCTTTAATTTGATCGAGTTCAACAAAGAAATACAGCGCCCAACTAGGTTGGAGTCC